CAGAGAAAACACATACAATAAACTCGAGACTAGAGAACAACAAAAGTGCTAGAAATGCTCAGCGAGTGGTAGCGGCTAGCTGACTATACCACGAGATAGGTATCACAATCCTCTGGCGTCGGTCTTCTGTGAGACGCCAGTATTTAAGCCGGGCACAGCTGATGAGCTGATGAGCCACAGCTGCCAGCGATCTCTCCTGATCGGCTCCGCCCAGCCTGCAGAGAACAGAGGCACACCCACCAAAACACAAAGACAGACAAAATCCCCAAAACAGAGTGAACACAATCTAGGACCCTCACATTTGCAAGTTTAAAAAAAAAAAAAAAAGCTCTTTGCCAAACAAGCAAAAAAAAAAAAAAAAAGGAACTTCTTTTGCACTGAGGTCACTCAATGCATCCTGTGCATCTTTGTCTCAGTTGCAAACAAATTTTAGCTGCATTAGCGCCACCTACCAGGCTGGAGTGTGTGCCAGAAATTAGGGAAGTGAGAAAGGTGCAATTAAATGGATTATTTTTTTTAACACGTTATTTTTTCCCTGTGATTAATTAATCATAATTAACGCGTTAAAGTCCCAGCCCTAACATAAACATACCAGTGACGTGAAGTGAGGTTCATGGCTGGTGAGGCACTGACTTCATCAGAATCTGATTTACAAATATATGCTCTCTACACAGTAGCATATTTGCCATTTGATTAGCAGCAGTTTATGGGTTATGTTTCATATCTGCATTCTTTACCCATACAAGCTGGAGCCCACAAAATGCATGCTTCTTCTTTTTTTTTTTTTTTTCAAGTAATTGCGGTGTTACCTTTACCTTTAAATGAAGTCCATGCGCCGCTCCTTCTGGACAAAACATCCGTTGCTTTTTTGTAAAAGTCTCTTTATCTTCCTTCACTGCACTTGACTTGCTAGCTGTATATCATACCTAGTCTAGCTTGCTGTCACTTACTCTACAGCCAGGGAGTCACAAGAAGCATGTCTGGGATCAGAGCGCCCTCTGCCATGACGCAAGAGAACTGCCTGCCTCACCTGGAACCTCTTCTCAGCCGTTTATGATCGCTCAGCACAGGGAACACATTACACATATACAGTTGGTAAAAAAAAACACTGTACATTATTATATACATCAGTTGAACTATGGCAAATCAGTTCATATATTAAATGTGTTTGAAACATGTTTTTGGCGACATCCAGACAGCAGTACGCTGTCACTGCAGGGAGGCAGTGTAGGTAGCGAGGGATTGTGCAATCCAAGTGAGGCTGAGCTCGCTGCCAGCTCGTGCAATCCCTCACTTCGCTGGCTGCCATAGAATAGAATAGAAGAATAGAAAAATACTTTATTTATCTCAGTCTTGGAAATTACTGTGGTACAGCAGCAGCAAGAAAAAACACCAATCACAACAGAAAAAGGGCTAAAGTTAAATACTATTTTAAAAATGAAAAATAAGTGAATTAAATAAAATAAAATAAATAAAATAACTGTACAAAATGTGCAAATTGAAAAAACAGTGCAAAGACAAAGGGTTTTACAGAGCAGAGAGCTGAGAATGCTCTCTGCCAGACAGAGGTGAGGTGTTGTACATGGTTATTGCTCTGGGCAGGAAAGATTTCCTGTAACGGTCCTTGTGACAGCGGAGTTGAATCAGTCTGTTTGAGAAGGAGCTCCGCTGCCTGTCCAGAAGGGGGTGGAGAGGGTGGTCGGGGTTATCCAGAATAGATAACAGTTTGTTCAGAGTCCTCCTCTCCACCACCGCTTTCATGGTTGCAGCCGATTACAGAGCCAGCCTTCCTGATCAGTTTGTTCAGTCTGTTGGTGTTGCTGGCTCCGATGCTGCCTCCCCAGCAGACTACAGCAGAGAACGCTGCACTGGCAACAACAGACTCATAAAAAATGTTCAATGCAGCGACAGCCTACGCATGGCAGCCTGCGCAGTGAGGGATTGTGCAATACAAGTGAGGCACAGCTCGCCGCTGCCTCCCCGGCTTCTCTTCCAAGCATTTGAATGGGAAATTGCGAAAATTTTGCGATTTTGAATTTAAAAATCGTCAAAACTGACGAGGCTAAATGAAAAATAAATACTTTATTGTACAAATCACTGCATAAATATAACTATTTAAATTATTTTATCATTATATAGCTTTTTTCTTTCCGTGATGTCAGGTGAGGCTCTGCCTCACCTGCCTCACCTGACTGCACGTCACTGATACATACAGTGGAAACCAGAAGTTTACATACCACTGTATAAAAAGACACACAATCTTTTTTTTTCTCATTGCCTGACATTAAATCAGAATAAACTTTTCCTCTTTCCTCAGGTCAGTTACAATTATCAAAATTATGTCTATTTGATAAATGCCAGAATAATGAGAAAGAGATTTTTTTTTTATTACTTTCTTCAATGTCAGAAGTTAAGCTGACAACAGTTTGTCCCTACAAGTTATCTTCTATATGCTGTACACTTAGACTGATAACACCCATATTAGCAATGTATTCAGAGTTGGGTGTTTACATAAAGCCTTTTTATCGCAGTTGATTTTTTTAAAAATGAAAGCATCGACAGTCACTGAGTGATTAATCAGGCTTAGATGAAATAGCTCTGAATTCTTAATTGGTCTTTCTTCCATCATATAAAACTGTAAATGTCAGTTTGAAGCAGGGAAGGTGTGAGGACTCCCAGCTGTCACACTGAAGGCGCTAAACAGTTCCTCCTCACAATTATAAAAGTAATTTCTGAGAATTAAGCTGTCGCAGCAGAAAACAGTGTTAACACATTCATGCCGTCACTAGCAGGAAATCCTCCATCGTCCTAAAAAATCAGATTTCATCAACACCTGTGCTGATGCACCTGTTACTGAAACACAGGACTTGTTGACTCGACGCAATGTGTTGCTGAGCGGGAAGAAAAGGTGTTCACAGATATGCAGGTGGATTATCTGCAAGGGCTGTTGGCTCTGAAAAAAACTCAACCTGTGAAACACAAAATGTGATCATTTAGCAGAGACAGCACAAACTGTAGACATATTATGTTCAGAGAATCCCTCTGACACAGAGGAATTATGCTGCTTTGTTTAATCTGATTATGTTACAGTAAAAACTCTTCCTGGAACAAGGAAATATAATTTAAGAAAACATTAGGAGAAATATAATTTAAGTGTAAACCACCAACCCCCAAATGTTTTCTGCAACAGTCCAAGTGGACACCTCCATGGATGTCAATGTGAAGCCCAAATTTGAGTCTGCATGGCAACACTCTACAAGGGCAATGGTGCACATGCTAAGCAAATGTGCAGAATAAGTAGATGCTGACCCACTGCACATGAATGGAACAGATCTTCTGCTGGGCCCCTATATGGGCGACTAGGGCTCAGGTGGTAGAGTGGGTTGTCCACTAATTGCAAAGCTGGTTCGATCCCCTGCCCCTCCTCATTCAAAGTGTCCTTGGTCAAGACGCTGAACTTGAGGTTACTTTTGATGGCAGGCAGCACCTTGCGTGGCAGCTCTGTCACCATTGGTGTATGAGGAAACACACTGTAAAGCACTTTGGGTACCACTAAGGGAGAAAGTAGATATATAAGTGCAGACCATTTACTGTTTACCATATTTAGTGTTTAACACCTTCACTTCCAATAAATAAATAAAAATAAAGGGTTGTGTTTATCTCCTTGTTTTTCTCCTTGTCCTTATTGATTATTTCCATTCCAATCTGACATCTCTTCCAGATGACTCAGTGTACGAGTCTCCGGAGCCCTTCCTGACAGACGACACCACTGGCGGCTGCAGCCTCATTCTGCCCTCCGCCATGTTGCTCACCCTCCTCCTCATCCTCCTCCTCGCCTCCTCATAGCACCTCCTCCTGTTCCTGTACTTCTTCTTTCAGATGGGCCGAGCTCTGTCCTCCTCCCACTGCTCTGAGGACAAACTGAGGCAGGGAACTAATCCAGCACTGTCACCTCCAGCCTTCACTAGAGCGCCGCTCAGCAGCTCCACCAATCAGAGGAGGCTGAGGTTTATGGTGGGAGGAGCTTGGAGCTGCATATCTCCTTCACATGGAGTTTCTGGGATCATCTCTGCTCTGTTAAAATGTTTCTTTTAAAGTGTTAAAACTGTGTTACAGATCAACAAGTTGACTGTTCCTCAACTGCCCTGTTAGAGTTTCTGGTTTCTGGTACGTGGGATATAATGCCTGCTTTTATGTTGTAAAGACTCTAAGGATGATATACTGCCTTTTGAGTGCCAGAGATTGTTTGAAAATTGGGTTTGTTTTTTGCTTTTTGTTTTTTAAATTCCGTTGCTGAAATGATGTGCCGAGTTTCAGGTCTGATGCCAAAACTAAACTTTTCCTATTATAAAAGCATTTTTCTACATTTTTTTTAAATTTCAGCCAAACCTAAAGACCATACCAGTGGTTTACCATGTTTTTAGCTGGTTAAAAAAATCATTGTAGATTTGTAGCTATATTGCATGTAGAACTTTCTGACTTGTGTACACAAAGAGCTGTATAGATGCATAGCAAACAAACTGCTTTATGCTCTGACAAAACTATAGTCTTTTTCTCCGTTGTGACGCACAAGTTTTTGATGTAAAGTCTTGTCTAAAACATTGCATAAGATCTGAATGAAGATGGGGGGTGTTTTAATGACCTTTTTCAATTCCCTCACTATGTTGTTGAGTTGTTTTATGAAAAAAAAAAAAGAAAATTATAGGAACTAAGTGAAAAATATTTGAGTTGATCAGAAAGGAAAATCTGTTTATTTTACAGGCCCATCTATAGAAGACCTAGAACGCACAGCCGCTCAAAGTCAGGAAGAATCCACATGAAGAGTTTAAGTTGTGTAACCAACGGACACTGACATCAGTTCATTAACCATTTTTTACCAACATGGTAGATGATTTAGTACTTTTCTCCTGAAAAGTGGAATACAACAAGCAGGTAGGACTTTTTGGAAACATATTGTAATGAACAACTAGAGAGCAGCTAATTTTTAAATAATCAAACAGGAAAATACAGCAGCCATTTAAACAGTATAAATATACATACAACAGAGTCATTTTCATGTATTTTTTCAAGTGCTCCAGGCAGCTGAATATTTCCATTCATGTTAGTATAAAGTGAAAATCATTCAGCAAACTCTTGAACATCAGGTGAACATCAGGTCTCTAATGATCTGGGGTGAGTGTCAAATCAATGTACACATAACCTGCTTCATCCTGCCGCAATAATGATAACAATAAATGCAGGCATTAAAATATACACAGAACACCTGCAGTCCTAAAGCCTTAACATCTTTTTTTGCACCTCTTATATCTTGCAGTTAATATTTTGCACAAGATACTGTACAAACAGATTATTATCTTGTCGCAAGCCATGAAAACAATCCTGTTTCCAGACTTTATTAGGGATAAATAATTTGGAGTTAAGCAGCTGAATCTTGCTAAAACACTGATGTGGTCTTTGAATATGACACAGAAAAATTATTTAAATCAGGAAATATTTGCGAAATGAGACTGTCGATCAGAGAAATTATCATTGTGTGATTGATTGTATTTAATAGATATAAATCAAAGCATCTTTACACACACCGAAAGTGGTAAAAAAAACAAACAGTGTCATGACAGTCTCCTGTGCAGAAACGCTGTACGTCTGAAACATGGCAGTCAGTGGAACTTTGAAGACGCTTCTGTCTGTTTCTCTGGGAGGCTATAGATAAAAGATGCTGTTACGCTGACATACATCAGCTGAATAAAACAAAGACTGAACTCATTGGGACAATTATCATATTCAGTATTTCATCCTCAGCATTCAGCACAGCTCTGGAGTTCTTCATCAACACACAGAACGTCGCCTGGTCTGCAAGAACACCAGCACAGATTGGCAGACTTACTCAGATGATCCCAGCAGCATGGACAGCAGCTCTGCAGTGACTCGTGTCAGCCCAGTTAGTTTTATCTCCCAGACCTCTTCACTGATAACAGTCACAGAAACAAGCTATAGCAGCCATGTAAAGACATCAGAGTGAATCTATGAGACAAACAAAACTAAAAAGAGTCACGTCACATTAAAACGTGTGACTGGGATGTCACTGGTCAACTTGTTTAATTAAACAATTTATAATTAATAATAATTTTGTCAAAAAGTTCTCATACACATCTAGCTTCAGTGTCTAGACTCCAGAGTGATACTTTAAAGTGCTTCAGACATTCATTTTATAGATCTAATCTGCCCTGTGACACACTGACACAGCCAGTGTCGGCTAGCACCGTGTCCAGCCTCCTACACCCCTATGCAGGACACAGCAGGTACAGCTAAAAGATGGATGAATCAGTAAAATCCCAGCTTTTGTAATCTGAATATTTGGATATTGTGACTGATTTCTGTGACAACAGTCTTCATCATCAGTGATTAAAATCAAATAGTCATCAGAGAGGAGCATTCTCTCGAGCCCACCTTCATCCCTGCAGCAGCACATGTCTTTTCGGTCTCTATTCAGCCTTTTGATTCTTTAAATCTGCCAAAGACTCTTGTTAAACTTTTGTATTGGATGCTTCTTCAGGGGCGGGGGGGGGTGTAAAGTCATTCAGCAGCTAGGGGTCTTCTTGACCCCGCCTACTTTGAAAATAGGGGTGGGGTCACTAGAAGGGGAGGAGTCTTTTATTTTATTCTTTTTTTAAAATTGTGTCATTTGTTGTGAGTGTAATACGAATGTTATGCGCAAAATACAAACCAATCAAACATGGCCTTTTCCCCCCACTGGTGCTGAATTTTTAATGACTGAAAAACAGCGACACTGTGTGGTCAAGGTGAAGCTTATCATCAAATTCCACACTTTTTTGTTCTCTTCATCTCTTCATGCTACCCCTCCATCTCTGCTGATGGAGGGAGAGTGTGTCCTTGTGAGTGGATGAGCAGGGACATGCTGGGAAATGCAGTATATATACTGAAAGCACTGTGACGGAGGACAGATGGACGATGTAGCATTGGACTCCTGTGGAGAACGACGAAAACAAACTGGCGTCAATGTTTCCATGTCGGTATGAAAAGAATGAAAATTGAACTTTTTTGTTTTATGTTTGTGCCGTTTTTTATGTTTTAAAAAATGCAGGAGAAAATTCATATAAGATATGAATTCATTAGCAGAGTTATGAAGGAATCAATCTGTTTGTTGTTGTTGTTGCTGTTGTTGTTGTTTTCTCCCCCTTTTTTGTTCCTGCTTGCATCACAATGCATTCTGGTCCCTGTAGTCTTGTCCGTCCATGGTTGTCTGGCTCTTCATATTTCTCTTCATTGATTTCTGTGTGGATAGAATCAGTTTTTAATCACATAAGAAAAGTTTAAGAAGGAAGGAAAATTTAAAGAAAAAAAAAGTTCTGCTGGTGGTTGTGTGAGTGAGGGTTAGACCACCTTGTTGTCTCTGGTTTACAGTGTTTCTGAAAAGAAATTGTTTTTCTACATCCAAATGTCTGCATATTCTATTCTTTGAACAACAAAAAAATATGTTTTGTATATTTTCATATTGGATTCCTATAGAATCCTGTTGTAAAGAATGCATTTATCTGATTGGCTAAAGCACTAACAAGGGGTCAGAGGTCATCAGGACATTTTCTTTTCCTGCGCTGCATGAGCAGGAAAAATACAACTTTAAAATACATTTACTTAATTAACTTTGAAGAGGATTTCAGAAAGAAAATGTTAAGAAGTGTACGAATCTGTGTTTGATAAATTCACCACCAATAAAGACAAAAAGTTCCACTAAAGACATTTTTTCTGTTTTGTCCAGTTCATTTCAGGTCATCCAGAGAAAACCTTGTGACTGTGTGGGTTTGAAATTGTAGCCACAGATGAATGTAGTATAATATAAAACTAGGAATGCTGAACACGTGTGTGGTGTGTAAGAAGATGTGGTGTGTAAGAAGAACAAATCAAAGACCGGTAACCAGATATACCTAAGTGGCTTTTGACTACAAATCAGTTTATTTATTTTTACTTATTTATATATTTGATCAGGGACCGTGTGTCATGTCCCTGCAGCCTCAGCCCCTGCCCTGCGCTCTCTCTCTCTCTGGCGCTCTCTCTCCGGCGTCCCAGCACGCAGGCAGGTGTACCTGGTTACCAATCTAGTGATTGGTACGTGGGGATTGGGCCGCTCCACCTGCAACCTCCGGTCTGCTGGTATTTCAGCTCCGGCCAGACAATGCTCCAGCGCCACGCCGTCGAACCATTCACCGGTTCTGCCATCACCATTATACTTCATCCACTCCTGCCATTAAGGAACCGAATTCTCTAGTGATGGGCAGATGAAGCCTCATGAAGCCTTGAAGCGTTCCACCTAATTGGTTCAAAAAAAGGTTCATTTCTCGAGGCTTCATGTGCACACAAGCCCCCCTACTGGTCAAAAAGTTTATTGTCATTTCAACTACTTGTGATGGCCTCTTGGCTGTCTTGCAACAGTGTCAGCATGGGAATAATCAGCGCCAAGGACA